CATTTTTTTTTCCAGAGAAAAAATTAAAAAAATAAAAAGTAAAATAAAATTTAAAAAAAAAAAAAAAGGATCTGATTGGTACAGGAAGAGACTGCCCCTCCTTCTCCAGCAGAGCATCTGAACCTGGTGGATTCGAACCATGTGCCTCTGGGATTGCAGTGCAGTTTCTTGCCACTAGGCCACCAGAGCTCCTTTAAAAAAAATTAATTTTATATTGGTTAGCTTACAAAGTTGTATATATTGTTTTTCACACTATCCATAGTTTCTTTCTTAAGAAAAAAAAATTATTTTTGTTCTTTAAAACAAACCAAAATAATTTTTGTTTGTTGTAATCTTCCTTAAACCAAAGAAAATGACAAAAACACCAAGGCAAGTTTAAAAAGGAAAGAGAATATAAACTTCATTTATACTGTTTAGTTGTCTTGTTTACTACTAAATCTCTGACATATAGCACAATATAAAACACAAAACAGAAACTCAAGAAATTCTTGCAAACAATTACATAGTAGTATCTTCTCTACCAAAATTATTTACCTAGTTCAATCCTGGCACCAGCAATCATTAAAATAAAAAAGAATTATAGGTAATTCTTGGTGCCTGGTACCTGGTGTCTCATGTAATGCTGCTGGAATGCATTGCCATTTTTGAAGACCTTCAAGCAATAAGGACAGAGCAAGTGCCGGGTGTCCTCATGGATCATCCGAAAATGAACATCAACCTCAGAGTAGAGTGAGGAGCGATACTGACACACCTGTATAACATAAGAAGGGAAACAACTGAGGCCTTTAGAAAGAATTAGTAACAAAAAAATATGAGGGGAAAAGGCTTTCCTAAAATATATCAAAATCAAATTACATTTCTGACTGTGACAAAACTAGTTTAAAGTAAAACTGGAAGGCTAGGAAAGACTTGGTATAATCTATATGCTAAGACTAAACTTTTTCTTTGTATTTTATTTATTTTGTTGTTAAGGCTAAATTATTGATGATCATCTCTAAAGGCCAATTCCAATCTGACCTAAGTACATGCATAAGGTCCCTGGTTGGGTATGTTTTTAATTTTCTCTCTTTTTAAATACAATCTTTCATTTATACATTTAATCTTTCATTCATGTACACTGTGTTTTATACAATCATTCATATACACTGTTCTTTAAACGACTGCTAATGATCTATGCTTATTATTACACCATCTTTTCAAGCACCCACTCAATCTTTCCTATTCCTTCAACTCCCTACAAACTCTGACTTAACTTTTACTGTGTTAGAGGTTTCCCTCCTTCCTCTTTTTTCCATGTCCCTCTCTCCTCTTTTAAAAATTTATTTTTATTTTATATTGGTGGATATATTCTTTTGTGTTTTCTTCCTACAGGGAAGCACACTGAAGACAGAAATTTTACCAATTCTCCAGTTGGTGTTGCTGTTGCTGACTGCCTTCGAGTAGAGCACGACTCCTAGCGACCCTATGAACAAAAATGTCTGACGCCCCTCTACAACTATGGACATTTATCAAAGTTCATAGTTTCCGGAGGCATGTTGTTTAGGAAGTAGATGCCACTCCTGCTTCCAAACTGTCCCCAAACTGAGTTTATTTATTAGATATTGAGCAGTGTTGATTAGTGAATTCTCCGCATTCAATCTTGAAGAAAAAAGGCTAAGTGCTCCCCAGAGAAAAAGATAGTACCTGGCAAACATAAGGCATCTCTCCTGGCTTATGAGTATCCTTCATATGCTGGAGAAATAGTGGCTCACTTTCAAATGCCCACTCACAGATCTTGCACTTTGCTGTAAGAAGAAAAATAATCAATAAATCAATCTGGAAATAACACCGAAGCCTGGCTGATTCAATCTTTATGTTCTCTGACTCTTTTTAAAAATAATTTTAATCCCACCAAGTCATTGCCTAACTTCTACTCTTTAAGGTGGTTCTATCTTCACATCTCTCTGATACCTAATCCAAACCCCAGTTACAGATTTTTAACTATAAGACATTTTATATTGGATACTCCATCACAACCTGTAACTTAGTGGAATATCCTCTTGTTTCCTACTCCTCTTCCTCATATTCTGAGTGAAAAACTGAGGCACTCAGTGCCTCCAAATCCTATAGTATATTACCAATCCACATCCTCACCCCTCAAATTTTGCTAGGAAATGTCCCTTCTCCCATCCCCATTCTTACAGACTGAAAACTGATGGAAACCTATATAATTTCTTGCTAAAGATTAGCTAGCTGGTTTTTGTACTCCCAATCTTTCTCAATAGTACTAACATATTTTCCCAGCACACCACTGTGAAATTCTTTTAAGATATTATTGCATTACCTCACTCTTCTGTTCAAGGACAGACGATAAATATCTACTAATACAATATTATTAGATGTTAAGTTCTTACTGTACTCTACGGTAGGTTTTTGTTTAGTCTTAACAAGTTCAAGATAATGAAACTTTAAATTTGTTGATTTTATCAAGTTTCTAAGGTTGAAATTCTAAATTTCCAGTTAAAATGTTTTAATGGTTCCATATTTTCAATTATTTATATATAACTATTATATATGCACATATTCAGTTATTTGTATTTTTCTTACTTTCACTAGAATTATTTTTATGTGTTTGAGAATATGGAAATCATAAATTTAAAGGTTTAAGCATTTACTGGAAAATGCCAATACCAAAAGGGGATGGGGAAAATGAGTGAAGTTGAAACAATTCTTTAATGTATTAGTGAATAAAACTCCAGATTCCAAACCCAGGGTCCATGGACTAGGGCATTCCCAATTATTTACAACAAAGTAAAATGTGTATTTTCCTGGGAAAAGGATTCACAGGGTTGTGGTTATTCTCAAAGAGATCTAGAACACAGTTAGAACCACTCCTTAGGGTCCTTGAAAGGAGATAAAATGTTGGGAAAGGTGGAGGATCGGTGAAAGAGAGGAAGACCCTCAACGAGTTGGACTGACACAGTGACTACAACAATGGACTTGAAGCATGACAGATATCACAATAGTATTGCAGGACAGGACAAGGTTCATCTAACTTGTTCATAGGGTTGCTAATGAGCTGTAGTCAATTTGATTATTATATAACCACCACCACCACCACCACCACCACCACCCATTTAAAGTGTGAAGAAAGGCCTTGTGGAAGGGAAGATTCAAAAGAGGAAGAACTAATAAAGTCTTGACAATTCCTCACATGGTGAGGCTGTGATTAGCCAACAGATGTGTACAGGTACTGACATCTTGTCATGAAAAACATGTAAGCAAATGTGTGAAAGAACTCTAGAATCACAGAGGTGCCATCAAGTCATGAAATAACCTTAGAGAAAAACATAACACTCTTAAGACCATAAGGGCGCCATCTGATGGTCTAGTGATAAAAAGTTATGTTGTCATCCCAAAGGCACAACAGTTTGACTCCACTAGTTGCTCCCTAGGAAAAAGCTGGGCAATCTCCTGGGTGATTTTCTGCCTCTAAAACCCAACTGGAGAGTGAGCCAGAACTTGGTTCTGACTCAATAGAACAACACCACATTAAAATTATAATGCAGCTATAATTAAAAATCCACACAAACACAGGCAGTCAAATTCACACACATAATACTTGCTGAAAAGTTAGGATTTAAAGTAGGAGAACAAATACTAGTGCCTTTAATATGATAATATCATAACATAAAAAACAAAACAAAATCAAACCCTAAAATCCTCACCACTAGGTTAATAGGCAACAAGATAGATGGAGCAAAGACTGAAGTTGTCAATCAACAATTTTATGCTTGGATGCACAATCAACATCCTTGGTACTAGCTGTCAAGGTATCAAGAGATTGCACTGGGAAAGTTGGCTGTCAGGGACGTCTCCAAAGTGCTGAAGAGCAAGGATGTTAGTTTAAAGACTAAGGCACACCTGATGAAAGTCTTTTTCAATTACTTGTTACAAATTGCACTACGGATGTCAGAAAAAAAAAATCACTAAGGCCTTTGATTTGTGGTTTTAAGAGTGCAGAATATCCTGTGAACTGTCAGAAGAACAAACAAGAAAGTCTCTCAACAAAATGAATTGACTCAGGACTGTAACAATGGACTCAAGCATATTGGAATTGGAGAGAATGGCAGAGGACTGGGCCAGGTTCAGATATGTTGTTCAAAAAAATCACTCTGAAGCAGAGTTGGCTCAATGGTATAGAGTAACAACAATATAATTTAACTGAAAAGCAATTCAGAAAATAAAAGGAAAAAATGTGTTCAATCTGGATGATGAACAAATTAGGAGCAGAGAGTAGTGATACTATTTCTACTATTCTCTGTGTTTGAAATGTTTCATATTAAAAAGCAAAGAGTCTCAAAATAATAAGAAATAAACTAGCTTCATGCAAGATTTGCCATGGATTTTAAAAAAGTCACAAATTTAAAAATATAATTGACAGGCATTAAAAGTATTATTCATCAACACAAATATTATGTGAAGTACTCATAATTAAGTCATATGTCAGGGATCACAGACTTGGAAGCCAAGAGAAAACAGATAGATCAGTGACACTCTACCTGGCTTCTCTTTGATAAAGAAAATGTTATCTTTTGTATACTGCTTTGACAAATAAATGGAATGTCAAAACCCTCCCACACAACTCTGTATAAAAATGAATCAGATATTGTTATACTGACTTCTTTTCATTGTGGTGAAGAATTTTTGGGTTCCAACCTAGACCAAGTTGATACTCTGTCATTATATTGCAGTGTCATGAGTTTATTCTACCATCAATTCTACTATCAAATGATTACATGTGCTGTTCACATGTGGCTACCAACACGTTAAATGTGGTAAATGCAAACAGAAATGCTATACCTGTAATGCAGAACAAGGATTTTTTAAAAATCTGTATTTTTACACAAAATTACAAATGTGGCTTACATTATATTTCCCTAGATCATTACTAGTCTATGCCATTTACGGCAATATAATTTTTCTTGCCTGGTTTAATAATGAGTCTATGACCCAATTCTGACCAAGAAACTATAAATGGGAACGCTTTCCTTATGGATGAGACACAGATTTGAGAAAGACCAAGGGAAGAGATGGTGTTTCCTTCTTTTGGACAATTTTAGGTCTGTACATAAGGCCTGAGAGTAAACTTGCTATGAGCCTGAGACAAGTTCATGTTCAACCTCCCTGTATGTCTGAGAGTTGTAAAAGTTTAGAAGTGGCTGATTAACTACTGGTATCTCTTTTTTCCTTTTGCTGAGTGCAGTGTACTTTATTGATGGTACGTGACAAGATGGGCTCTCTAAGCTCCTCCCCTTTCTCAGGGGGACTGGAAGGAAACTGTGTCAAGGATTTGAGATTCTGAGTGTGGGAGGGCTGAGTTGGGGGCAAGGACTCCCCAGCAGATCAGAGTCTCTGTCTCTAATACTATTGCTGGAGCTCTTATTCTTTGGAGGCCATGTGAACCATCAGGCTCACCACCCATTTGCTGTAGCCAAATTCATTCTCATATCAGGAAATGAGGTTGACAAGGTAGTCATTCAAAGCAATGCCAGCCCCAGCCACTGTTAAAGTCACAGGAGACTACTAGGTCTTTGGTGTAACCTATGATGCTCTTTTGAGGCCATTCTGATGCCTGCTTTACTTACTCCTTTCTTGATGTCATAATATTTGGCAGCTTTCTCCAAACAGCAGGTCAGATCCACAAATGACATACTGGGGTGGGGCACAGAAAGCTATGCCATTAAGTTTCCCATTCAGCTCTGGGATGACACTGCCCATGGCCTTGACAGTGCCAGTGGATGCAAGCATGATGTTCTGGGCAGCTCCACGGCCATCATGCCACAGCTGTCCAGAGGAGCCATCCACAGACTTCTGAGTGGCAGTGACGGCTGAAAATGTTGAGAGAGTTGTCATTCATGCCCGTCACAAACATGGATATGGGCATCAGCAGAAGGAGCAGAGATGATTTCCCATTTGGCATTACCCTTCAAGTGAGCCCGTCTTCTCTAAGGTTGTGAAAACCCCAGTGGACTCCACAACTTATGTAGCATGAGCAGAATCTCACTCCTGAAAATAGTGATGTCTTTCTCACTAATAACAAGCTTCCTATTCTCAACACTGACAGTGCCACTGAACCTGACATGAGTGGAATCATACTGGAATATATACACCAGTTTAGGTCAATGAAGAGTCACTGATGGCAACAACATCCACTCTGCCAGAGTTAAAAGCAGCCCTGGTGACCAGGCGTCTAACACAACCAAATGTTTACTCTGATCTTCAACATCGTGTCTCAGGAATGAGGCTGAGCTTGCACAAGAAGAGCAGACTATCTGCAATTGATGAGGAGCAGAGACCCAACTATTGGTCACTTATTTGTTTGAAACAAAAGGAACAGAGAAGGAAACTCAAGAATTAGTAAAGGAAGTGGATTATAGGACTAACTGATTCCAGGAACCACCTCTACCTTGCGTGCCAAAGAGCTAGATGGGGCCTTGCTACCACTACCAAATATTCTGATCAGGGGTACAACAGACAGACAGAAAGGAGACGTTGAACAGCTCTTCAGGTTTTTTCTGTCCTGAACTACTTTTTACTATGAAGACATACTACAACATAAAAATTTTATGAAGACAGTAAGAGGACTACACTACCATGTTTCATGTACAATGTTTGCAATTCTGAAACAATCTGTATAATGGAGGCAGAATAAAAATATGAAAGGAAGCTAATCAAACATCAACTTTCCTAAAAAAGTGTCTTCCCCCCATATCCTTAAATCACCAAAGTACAGTTTAGAAAATAAAAACACAGAAACTAATACAACTGAGACCTGGATGTTTGGTAAGCAGTGAATTACAAGTTTGGGATCTTCAGAAAAAAAGGCTTCTTTTTGGGGTTCTCTCATTCACACTGTTTCATATGATCATTCCATTCATTGTGTCTTACAAAATTAGTCACCATTACCTACAACCAGGAGAAGATAAAATAGATGAATGGGATCTTCTAAGAATCAAATCCCTATGCACATCCAAAAACTTCTCCAACAGGGTAAAAGGGAAGCCACAGACTGGGAAAAAGTATTTGGTAATGACACATCAGGTAAGGGACTTCTATCAAGAATTTATAAAATACGTGAGCACCACAACAAGATAAAGGTAGATAATCCAATAGATATGAACTGACACTTCACCAAAGAAGACATTCAGATGGCTAACAAGTACATAAAGAAATGTTCAAAATCCCTAGCTCTAAGAGAGATGCAAATTAAAACAACTATGAGATAGCATCTCACCCCAGTCAGAATAGCAAAATTTAATAGCAAGCAACAAATGGTGGTGAGGTTGTGGAGAAACTGGAACCCTTATTCACTGTTGGTGGGAGTATAAAACGGTGCAACCACTGTGGAAGGTGGTATAGCGCTTTCTCAAAAAGTTGCAAATAGAGACACCATTTGACACAGCAACTCCACTACTGGGAATATACTCCAAAGAGACCTACTGATATCCAAGCAGATATATGCACATCCATGTTTATCACGGCTTTGTTCAAAATAGCCAGGAGGTGGAAATAACCAAAGTGCCCATCAACAAACTAATGGATAGAGAAGCGGCGGTATATTCACACAATGGAATACTACACTGTATTGAAAAACAAGGAACTCATGCAATATTATTCAAAACGGATGACCCTGGAAGACATTATGCTGAGTGAAGTATCTCAGTCACAAAAGGACAAATACTGCATGGCACCACTGTTGTAAAACAGGACTGACATTGGGGTTGGAGGGAGACTGAGAAAGATGGGTTCAATAATGTATACTGCATTGAAACAGATTAGGGAGAAAACTGTTAAAGAGGGATATGTGATTAGCTATTTTTGTCATGACAGGAGTCCAGAGCGAAGGCTGTATAGTGGAGTGGACCTGGGGGGAGTGATTGGAAAACAATGAAAGAATTTTCCTTTTACTTTTCCAAGAGGGTAGTGTACTTAGGGGGGAGGGTTGGGAGGGGAGAAAAGTGCAACAATAAATGAATGGCAATCCAAAGTCTCTATAAATTTTCACTGGAATTAATAATTAAAAAAAAAAAAAGCCCCACCCTTTCCCTGGATCCCGCAGGAGATGGGTGCCCCCATCGACATTTTGTCCTTTGGCTATCGGACATCATGCCTCCCAAGAAAAATGTTTCTGTGAAGAAACCAGCGGGCCCTGCTACCTTAAAGCCCATTGCGAAGCCAGCATCTGGGGCCCTTCCAGCCAAGGCCAAAGCTGAGCCAGCTGCCTCTCCAGCTTCTCAAAAACCCCAGGAACACCCCCATCCATCTCTCCAAAGTGGTGATCGAGTTTAACAAAGACCAACAGGAGGAGTTCAAGGAAGCCTTTGAGCTGTTTGACCAAGTAGGTGATGTTAAGATCCTGTACAGTCAGTGTGGGGATGTGATGAGGAACCCTGGCCAGAACCCCACCAATGCCAAAGTGCTTAAAGTCCTGGGGAACCCCAAGAGTGATGAGTAAAAGTCCCGGCGTGTGGACTTTTGAGACTTTCCTGCTCATGCTTCAAGCAGTGGCCAAGAACTGGGATCAAGGCACATATGAGGACTACTTGGAAGGACTTCGGGTGTTTGACAAGGAGGGTAATGGAAAAGTCATGGGAGCAGAGCTCAGACATGTCCTCACCACGCTGGGAGAGAAGATGACTGAGGAGGAGATGGGGACTGTCCTGGCAGGACATGAGGACAGCAATGGCTGCATCAACTATGAAGCCTTCCTGAAACACATCCTAAGCATCTGAACGCTGCAGCTTCTCTAGGGCTGGACAGTGGCCCCTTCCACCACCTCACCACCCCACCCCACTCCCTACCCCACCCTGTGCAGGCGAAAGCACCCTCCGGCCACTTAGGAGGCAACCTATTGTTTCAAAATAAAAACAGTTCCTTACTAAAAAAAAAAAAAAAATTAAAAAAACAAAAAAGGGAAAACAAAAATTAGTCACCATTGATCTATGTCCACCATTACTTTGTCTTTTCTGATTCCCCACTGGATCTTTCCTAATTCCTTCACTCTCTTCTGCCACCCACCAAACTCTGTGACCCCATGATTCTCCTCCTGCTTTTTTTTTCCCTCCCCATGATTTACCCCCTACTCCCTGCTTCCACACTTCAAAGTACTTCCTCAGGTAGCAGATCTGTCTCAATGTCATGGCAATAAGAACAAGAGCTTCAAAGAAGGACCATTCTGCTTTTTGTATTCCTGTGTTGTCACAGCTCTATGTATTCTTTCTTGAAATAACTCCCATGTATTCTTGCTTATGCTATACCACTGTCATCACTACTGCTACCTCATTAGTTATGTTTTCTGGCTTGTTATGGTGACCTCTTCTGTCCATGTCCTAAGGGGACCTCTCCAGTATTAGTGGTGAACATCACAATCTATAGTGATGGACATTTCATAGCTAAAACAAAGCTTGTATAGTCCATTCATCTGAGCAGCAAATGTGTGTATCACACTGAACTCTTGGTTGTCTTTGTAGATCCCTTACTGACAGGCCCTATAGCCAAGTTAATGTTCCAGAAAGCTGCCTTTGGCCACACTGAAGATATGCCCCATTCTGGTGCTACCGGTGACCTGTTCAGAGATGTACTTCTCCATATGTAGGTACATTCTGACAAAATAGCCTGAGACAGTGACCAGGAGTGCACCACCAGAACACCAAACTGGGCAAAGGTCACTATGGTGGAACTAGGGGGGAGGCCAGAGCCACAACCAGGAGTGCTTTGGCCTCTGTCTTAATTGCTTCCTCCTCCACTCACAGATCTTCAACTTCAAATTCTTGAATCTAGACTTACTGTATCTATTCAAGATAGAGGCGTTCCTGAGATTATGATCTTGAGGGTTATTTTTCAAATCCTGAATTAAAACCAACCCTTGAAGCCATTTTTAAGTAAGTTTAGATCTCAAAGGAAAGATTATCCTCCTTGACTACTGCATTCTTTAAAAAACAAACAAACAAACCAAACCGTAAGATTTAATGGACAGAAGACCAATCTTCTGGTCTCTGCTATTTTCAAGCACAGACATAAAGGTTGGAAAGCAGACAGAGTAAAACTAGAACAAAAATAACAAAAATGGGGACATAATGTGAAGACTATAATCAATATGATTTATCATTTTGTCAAGAAAGTGCTGGATGGAAGTGTGTTTTGCTGTGTTTTCACCAAAAAGAAAATATTAATAAAAGATAAATTAAAAAATCCTGTGAATGCAATCCCAGAGGTATTGCGGTTTGAATCCACCAGACGCTCTGCTGGAGGACGGGCTATCTCCTGCACCAGTCAGATCTGATTTGACCACACACACACACACACACACACACACA